CCCCCCCTAAAAAAAAGGGGGGAAAAAAAGAAAGATGCTGGTGTGCAGCAAAGAGTGTTTAAACGCTGGTTAAAAGTTTGATATAGAAATACCAGACAAAGAACACAATTATATGATCACGAGACTGAATAAAGAAATAGCTGGGAGTGAAATGCCAAATTTGAATCGCATTTAAACATGACATAATGTATAAATAATAACCCGGCGTAATGTTCTTGGCACGTGTAAAAGTCAAAAGTTTATAATAGTCACTCTCAGCTTTTGAAAAATGGAAAAAACTCAAACAATCCCAAATCAGAAGTAATTCTGTCGCCGTGACATTAGATTGCGCACTGAATTTTTTAAAGAAAGGGAAAAAAATGAAGAGATAACCCTCCTTCCCCAAATTGTCCTTTCTTTTTTACTCTTCTGAGTTTTGGTTTATGCCGAGGATTTGTCACGGTGACATCAGATTGCATCTGAATAACAGAAAGTTAGAAAAAGAGAGAATAGTGCCACCCCCTTCCTCTGTTACGCCATTGTCCTCTCTTTTGACCTCTCCTCATTTGATTTGTGGCATTCTGACACTTGGAATTGTCGCAGCGCACGTAGACAGTGTTTGGAGAGGGCTTGTTGTCTGTGTTTGTAGTTGAGCTTTCCGTCCAACGTAAATCTTATTGTAAACCGAAGTCACTTTGTGTTTATTTTCTTGGTTGTTTCCTTTTTTCCCCCTCCTTTTTTAAACCATTTGAGCAGAGTCGTGGGTCGTTTGGAAAATGGGAGAGGTGGGGAGGGTGCTCAAAACAGCGAGGGGGAGGTGGGTGGGGATAAATGAGTCGGGTGTTATGTTGCAGAGGTCCGTCTATAGGGCGCACACCACCACAAAGAACAAACAGAATAAAAAGAAAAAGAAACCGAGTAGAGCCAGGCTATCCCGCCGCCGCGGCGAAAATCGAAATCGCTGGAGCCGAGGTCGGGGAAGTGCGTGTCCCGCTCGTGCTCCACGTCTCCGTTGGCGAAGTTGTGCTGTCCGTCGCCGCCGCCGCCTCCGCCGTTGTTGCTGCTGTGCACGGGCGCTTTGGGCACCTCCCGCTCGGCGTTGAAGATGAGCGCGAAGAGGCGGATGATAAGCTCCATGAGCTCCATGATGGTCAGCACGGAGATGCCCATCCACAGGCCCAGTGTGCCGCCGATGTCCGCGAACAGGTCGGCCAGCCCGTAGGCGGGGAGCTGGCGGTACTCCACCACGCTCAGGTCCTGGAAAAGGGGGTGGGGGTGGGGTGGAAAGGGTGTGAGGGTATGTTGGTTGGACGGGGTAGGAGGTGGATGGGAAGGTTTTTTTTAACGGGATAGGGGTGAGACAGAGTTTTTTTGTTGTTGAAGGGGGTGAGGGGTGGGGGTGGGGGGAGAAATAGAGAGAAATGACTTGACATAAGTAAGAAATGAAAGCGAACACGTGGACATTGATTACTGCACCATACCTTTTATGCTCTTTAGGAAACTAAAAACAAACAAACAAACAAATGGCGCTCATATGACCTTATGCAGTTGCGAGCGCCGTAAAACCCTCTACTAAAACTTTAAAAAAACAACAAACACACACCCCCACCCTCCCCGAAAAAAAAAAATCCACAAACGTTTCTAACAAAATTTGTTAGTATTTAATACTGTGGAAGAAAGGACAGAAAAAGTAGGGGAAAGATTGAGGGGGGAGGGGGGAGGGAGACAGTGAACAACGTTAAGGTAAGTGAAAATGCAAATGCAATGTGGGTAAATAGTTCTTCACCCTGCGCACTTGCTCCGGGCATGAGAATGAAGAATGAAGGAACCTAAGAGGGTTGAAAAAAAACAACCCCACACTATGTTAATTATTGATTTTTACATCCCTATTCTTTATTGTCCCCCCCCC